ATATATATATATATATATATATATATATATACATATATATATGTATATATATATTACACCTATACCTATCTACCGCAACTACCCATCAACCTACCTATTTACCTACCTACCGACTGACCTAACTATAGACCTACTATCCGATCGACCTACCAATCTACCGACCGACCTATTTACCATAACTACCCATCAACCTACTTATTTACCTATCTACCTACTAACCGACCTACCGACCTACCTACTAACTGGCCTGCCAACCGACCGACCTACCTACCTACTAACTGACCTACCAACCGACTGACCGACCTACCTACTAACTGACCTACCAACCGACCTACTGACTGACCAACCTACTGACTGACCAACCTACTGACTGACTGACCTACCGACAAACCAACCGACAAACCAACCGATCTACTAATCTACCGACTGACCTACCGACCGACTGATCTACCGACCAACCTACCTAATAACCTACTTACCGACCTACCGACCGACCAACCAGGCATGACTAGGTTCCTAAACTTAAAGGATTATCTTGTTTTTCGTTTTGTTTTTTGTTACAAAAATGTTTTTTAAAAGTATTTGAGATATGAACTTTAGGCATTTTATCACTTCCTTCCTCTCATATCATTTATCCTAATTTCTTTTGTTGAATCTATGAAAAATACCAAAGATAGTTTGGCAAACGTAAATTAGTATTTTAGTTTATTACCTGAAAACGACATCAGTTGTTGCCAAAGTGGTGGTTGGGACCCCGCTATGGGTCGCAAAACAACGTGAGGGGTCTAAAGATATTTACCAGAAATTTAAAACAATCTAAAGACAAATGCTAACAGCGCAGGTTTTTACTATAACTGATTTTTTTTTTAATGCAGACATAAATGTGTAAAAATATATAAATATTGTTGGTGTATACTTGTATTTACTGTTTGTACACCTCAACCAGCAATAATTAGAGACACCAATCTGATGCAGTGATTTTGTAGATCAGAACCTGCAAAGTTTAGGATCAACTGAAGGCTGGTGCATCTTTTAGGTCTTAGCTGCAGGTTTTTCTCCCTTCTTTGGTAGTTTTTAGACCTGAATCATCTTTTTTTCCTCCTCCAATTGTCCACATTATTCAGTTTTATGCTCAACATGCCGTGGTAAGATCTAAAAACTGGACAATCTTTGAAAAAGCAGCTAAAGTAAAAAAAAACAAAAAAAAAACTGAAAGACATTCAGAAGCCTGAAGAACCATCAAGACCACTTTTGAAGGATTAGAAGAAAACGTCACTCCTTGGAAGCAAAGTAGAACAAACTTTTACTGCTTCCTTTAATTCATGTCATATAAGAAAAATTTAATCTGAGGGAGAGATAAATCCTGAGAGTGTTCCTGCCTATTGAACAATTTCTAAAAAGTTTATAAAACTCGATCACAGATGATTGTTAAAATCACATCTTTTCCCTCAGTATACAGATAAATAAATGAATGTTAAAAAAATTTAATTATTTCAAATAACGGTGAGATATTCCCCCTTACTTGTTGAGTGAAAGCTACATATTTATTTTTATTTTTGAAAAACAACCATACTCACCAGTTTCTTTTTCTTTTTTACTATCTAGCAGCTTAATAAAAAAAACATTAACTCTGCGTGACCACTCACATCTGTATTTTCTACCATTTAATATAGAAAATGCAGACGGTGTCACTAAAATTGGCGAGCAGCTCATTAATCAAGGCAAATGGGCTTCCCTGTGTGCCATTAATAATTTAAAAGTGACTAAAAATCATTGTCCAGATTGACTTCCACGCGCTGCCTCCGAGTCAATCTAGGTAGATTAGGAGAAGCCTCGTTTAGTCGTGCTCTTCGTGATGTCGTGTTCTGTTGGTCCGGAGGTGCAAACTGTTGTTTTTTCAGCTCTTCTGATCCGCAGGTTGCCCTTACGACCTGGAGTTCAGGGAGGTGAGAGACGGCGCCCTGGTGCTCGTATGGGTGGCCCCTCTGTATGAGGGTCGTGGTCCGGCCACTGGCTATTTGCTGGAGATCAGCCAGGGTGATCAGTCAGACAGCTGGACCGCACTGAACAAAAAGCCAATCTCAGAGACGCATTATAAGGTGAGGGAAGCAACGAAGCAGCTCAGGATTTGATCATCATCTGATTTAATGGAGCAAAGATTACACAGTTTATAAAGCAGGAGTGTAATTTTATTATTCTAGACTCCACCTGGCAGAGACTTCCGAGTGTCTCTGAATGTTTAAATCATACACTGAATTATTTGGGCGACTGGTTAATATTTGATGTGCTTCTTCTGGCATCCAGGTGTCGGGCCTTCAGACGGGTCAGACCTACCGTCTTCGTGTGGCGGCGGTTAATGAGGCTGGAGCGGGTCCAGCTTCTCTGCCCTCGGAGCCGGTCACAGCTCAGACCCGACCAGGTCAGGCCGCAGAACCAACATTACAGATACAGGTCAAACTCTGTGATGAAAAAGTTGGGTGGGTGTGTGTGTGGGTGGGTGGGTGGGTGCAGACACATTGCTTTTTGTTGTTTGTTTGTTTGTTTGTTTTCTGTCAGTAAACGACAAGTTTTATTTCATTCAAAAGACATATTTTATCATTTTGTCTGTTAAACAAGGAGTCAAGAAATTAACAGATTAAAAAGCTGAAAGAAAAGGGAAAATTAGTGGTCTGACATTGGTTAGCTCTAGCTCCTTTTCTTTTATTCCACCAAAAAAAAAAAAAAAATTGCAATGAAAGCATGAATTATTCCTTAAAAAGCCGTGACAACTTTTACATTATAAAACACGTGCACCAACAAAGAAAATACTCTTAAAAACTATACATGTGGCTGTCAGAATATAGATAAAAATTATGCTGTATTAAAGCAATATTCATGTAATTAAAATTATTTTGACAACCCTAACTACAAATCCATTAGACAACGTGTTTTTAAGGTCTTAATGGATGATAAAACTTTAACAAATAATACGTTTTTTTAAAGGTTCTCTGTTTAAGTGAAATCCGTGAGACTCGATGTCTTCTTTGTTGTCAGGAACCAGAGACATTGAGATCGGTGTGGACGATGACGGGTTTATATTTTTGGGCTTCGAGGCTGTTGAGATGAACGATGAGAGCGAGTTCCTCTGGAGCAGAAATTACACCGAACCCATAGATGCCAAGAAGACAAAGACTGAAACCAAACAGAACAGGTGGGTCCTTCATGTGCAGCAGTGTCTGATGTTGTCTATCAGCTTTAATTTAGACTTTAATCATTCTTAATCTGATAACTTCTCTTTGGTTTTTACTGGTCTCATTTCTTATTTTGTCCAGAAGTGATCAAACACAGAAAAATGCTTGAAACCAACCAACACGTTGATTATTTGTTGTTATACACTTTGCAGCTTTTCCTCACTGAGATTCCAGTTCTCATACGAGTTCAGTCATTTAAAGCTTGTAAAACTAAATAATCTGTCTGTTCTGTAAAAAAATGCAGATTATCTTTCTAAATGAATTCAACACATTTTTTCCACCTCATGTACCACATGCGATCCGAATAAAGTCACCTTGAGCAATTTGCTAAGCTGAAACTGGCTTGTTAAAGCTGAAAGAAGCAGAATGTTAAGTAAAATATAGAAAGCAGTTAGTAAGAAAGTAAAGTAAAGTAAGAAAAGGCTAGCTAAAATATCCTGATGCATGCTCAATAAATATTAGCTAGCTAAAATATTAAAAAGGAAGATAAAAGCAGGAGACTAGCTTATTTTTTTTCTCTCGCTTGCTCTGGTACGAGGCGCACACTTTCTCTTCCCTCTCCCTGTTCTCCTCCTGCTTTTTTTGCTCTCTGTCTGCACATCGGAGCTCCTATTTTTCTTCCGAAATGAAAACTACTGTTATGGATCTCACCAAATGGACTTTCGGCGCAAATGACAAAATCTTTTCAACAAAGTGACAGGGTCCTGGAAAACCCTCATTTCTGCTCAGACGACACGCATGCAGCTGGATATATCTCTGGGGAAGTGGGATGTGATGTGTTTATCTCTGCTGTCGATCAAGGACGCCAAAATTGCATATAATTGGATTTTTGATAACAGGTTTCCTGTTTTTGGAATTGTCTGTTTCGTGGTTTATAAACATACACAGAAGACAGTTGCAGCTAATCTGGCATGGGCAGGCTGCTGTCTATGTGAAGGTTGGTTTGTGCTTTGAGGACTCAAAATCAGCTGATTCACGAGCTAAACCGTAAGATGGAAGTGATTTGAATTGCAGGCCACCTGCAGCTTTGGGACTCATCAGCATGAAACAACTTTGAAGAGGCTCATAAGCACGGGCCAGTAGAATGCACCCTAATCTCGTCATTTCAGATCTTGAAAATATCAGTAAGACTCAAGCCAACAATTTTCAGTCAGGTCATCTGGACAGTTTCTTTTTTTTTTTTTGTGCTGAAACGTTTCACCTTCCATCCAGAAGGCTTCATCAGTCAAGGAAACACACAACACAAAACTGATTCTTCTCCTAACAGCTTACTCCAAAGTGGAACAAACCAGTTATGTTGGTGGTAAGATGGTCTCTTTGGCAAGCCCCCTCCTCCGGTGCCAGCCCTCTTCCTCGTCGACAGTAAGACTCAAGGTTGGCAAGAAAAATAGTCTGCCTGAATAAATCAACAATTGTGGCTTATCTGAATCTGACTCCTGGAAAACAGGCCGATATAGCAATTTCTCCTGGGAAATGTGTAAACTAAGGAAAAGCTTTGTCTATCGCAAACAGGAAAAAAAAAACAGAGGATTGAATAGAAAAAAAATCTAATATGTATATCTAAATGGGGGATTTTATTTTACATAAAGTAAACTATTTTAAAAAGTATAAATGTTCCAAACATCAAAAGTGACAGCAGCCATGGACGGATATATGAACGATTAAAATAGCTCAACGTATGCAGCAGTAGGTAGATTATCAAAACAGGACAGCAGAGCGAGTCAGCATTCGCTTCACAATCATTGAGCGGCGGCTGTGGCTGAGTGGTTAGAGCAGTCGTCCTCCAGTGCAAAAGCTGGGGGTTCGATTCCACCAGCAGTCACATGCCAAAGTGTCCCTGAGCAAGACATTGAACCGCTCATTGCCTCTGATGTGTATCGGTGTATGAATGAGATCTAGAGCACTGATTATTCTTTGTATAGATCTAGTAGAGTTCTGTATGAATGGGTAACTGAGGGCACAGATTGTAGTGTAAAGAGCTTTGAGTATTTTGATAAGATAGAAAGGCGTTATATAAGTACAGTCCATTTACCATTTCTTATTGAAACCCCGACGGCAGTTCAACAACAAGAAGCTCGGCAAACATCTGTCGCTTTTTTAATTGTCTGTCAGGTCCGTTCTCACCTTCACAGACCCGTCCGAGGAGGATCTGGGTCTGTATACGGTGGAGCTGAGTGACACGCCGCAGATATCGTCCAGCTACGATTTCACCGCTGAAGGTAAAACCCTCACGTGTAAAACTTGTCATCCTAAACGGTATGTAAGGCTTACAGTAAACGTCAGTCCTAAAGGAGGGAAAAACAGGATTTCAGTGGGATTTGTGACACCAGCGCAAATCTGCAGTGTTTTATTGGAGGGATTAACGAGTTTTCCTCTAAAGCTGCCACTTCAACAAGGTCACCTGCTCACCTGTGCGTGTTTTCAATCAACTCTCCTGCCCGCTGATATTCTGACAACATAACAGTCAGGACAAAATGTTCATTCTGCTTCTTTCTTTTGTTTTACAGACCTTGAACGTCTGAAAGAACTCAGCTGGCAAGTCAGAAATCCCTGTATGTACCTCTGTCGTGACGTAATCACATCTGGTTTTGACTGACTGACACATCTGACTGGTTTTGTGTTCGTGGTGGCTTTTGTACCTGGCACCTGTGCAGATTTGACGCGAGCTAGCCTGTTTGTCGTTAATCTCCTCTCCTTGCAGTGATTGCTCTGAAGTCGGCCTGGCAGGTGGAGGTTTCTGAGAAAGGCGGAGTGCGTCTTTGGCTTCAGACCGAGAGCCTGAGTGAATCTGCTGAGCTCCGCCTCGTCTGCAACGACCGGGAAATCTCCAGCACTCCTGTAGGTTATCCAAAAAAAACCAACTCCTAAACACTTCAGGAAGGTGACGTGCAGTCAGCAAGCAACAGACAAAAACATTTTGTTGGGATTTTTGGGGCTTCATACTTGATCCTTTCTTAATCTGTTGGTAACTTTTGGGATAGATCACGCTTAATTCACCCATCACAAAAAGAGTTACAGTCATTATCTGGTGTATTTTTGTATAAAAAAATGTGTTTTTTTAAGTTAAAAGTTTGCCTCATTAATTTAGAAACTTGTTTTGGGGCGAAAGTTAAAGTGGTTTATTGTTTTTGCTCCTATTTGTAACGTTCGTAGCAATACCCAGAGATAAGGACTGACGAGAACAGATTCCAAGACTCGATTAAGTGTTTATTCACAAATTGATGAAAGTCGTCAAACGTGTATGGGGAGGGGCTGGAACCAGTAGGGATTGGAGTCAGTTGTAGGAACATCCAATGGTTCCAGGGCGAGGAAGGAAGATGTCTGATTATGGTTCCAAGTAGGAGACAGTCAAGTGGTAGGAAGGTGAAGAAGCAGATGAGGAAGCACAGGAGAGCTTGAGGTCCACAGGGGAAAATCCCAGAAACAGGTGGGCGGCAGAGATAATGCTAAGCATGAAGGAACATAAGGTAAGTAATCATTTATCTCAATCACAAGTAAAGGGACAGAAACACAAGTACCACTGGCAGGTAATGCTCCAGCACTGACTGGATGTCCTCTGCAGCCTTTTATGATCCTGCAGCTCATCAAGGTCCACAGGTGTGGCTGATTGGTGCTCTCATGTGGCTGCAGGAAGCTGGCAGAGCAGAACTCCCACACTGTTGACATTCATTTCCAGCAAATCTAAATAAAAGTGGAAAATTTTAGAATTAGGAAAATGTATGTAAATATACACACATAACATACCGTACTTGCCGCTGTACACGTTGCACCACCGTATAAGTCACATCAGTTCAAATATGTCTAATAAAGTGGAAAAAAACATAAATAAGTCACTTCGCCGTATAAGTTGCATCTGTTATGCGTCACCGCTGACCACCCGAAAATGTGGGCCGGTGTTGTGCCAAAAATCGACTGGCTGCCAAATGGCGGCTGCGGAAGCGTACACGGGATGACTTTAACAAGAATTTAATAAGATTAACACTTAAAAACAATTGTTTGTTTGTTTGAAATTATAGGAAAGATGTGTCTCAGTTGAACAACAAAGTCCATGCTCAATAATCCAGGTATAAAATCCAACATTTTTCAGTCAGGTCATCTGGACAGTTTCTTTTTTTGTGCTGAAACGTTTCGCCTTCGATCCGGAAGGCTTCATCAGTCAAGGAAAGTAATGATAAGTTGTAATAAGTTGACCAACTTATCACCAACATAACTGATTTGTTCCACTTTGGAGTAAGCTGTTGGGGGAAGAATCAGTTTTGTGTTGTGTTGTGTGTTTCCTTGACTGATGAAGCCTTCCGGATCGAAGGCGAAACGTTTCAGCGCAAAAAAAGAAACTGTCCAGATGACCTGACTGAAAAATGTCTCAGTTGAACTTTAACTTAATAAATGCACTTTAATGGTCAAATCAGCTGCATTTTGCCTGGGCAGTGCAGCAAATTGCAGCTGATTTGATGTTTGCTCCAGGAGTTCTGGCTCGAGGCGAAGGTGGTTGTATGGCAAGCCAAGTGTCTCATTAATAGCCAGTTTTAAACACTTGGCTTGCCATATTGCTCGACTGCCCTCTCACGGCTGAAAATGGTAGTATTCAATATTTTCCATATCAGAATGAATTAAATCATCAGCTCTCAGCCAAAACTTGAGTTACAAATATGGGAGGAAAACATATATTAGTCACTTAGGTGTATAAGTCGCAAGACTTGCATATTTATGCAAAAAGGTGTGTATACAGCAAAAAATAAGGTATATACTTTAAGTACAACATACAGCCTTCAAAAAGCATGGCTTCTTCAAATTTACTTACATTCTACACATTTTTCATGCTGATGTCTAATTTATTGACAGTATTCAACACATTTTATACAATTAAATTTAAGAGATGTGCTTTACAACAATAAAAATAGAGTAAATGCAAAAATAAAATGTTTTAAAATGTGGAATTATTCTATCAATGTTTTTATAAAATATTTGAAATTAACATTGTGTACATTTCTAACTTTTATCAAATTTACATTAAAAAAAACCTCTCAAAACTGCTGCTTTACATACTTTTTTCAACTAAATTGAATTTTTGACCTATTTGAAGCGATGCTCAGTCGTGAAGAAACGAGTTTAGTCCAGATGTGCACATTTTTACTGCATGATTTTCTACACAGTAATTATTTATTTGAATGCCAAAATACTGAAGGTAGTTTTAGGCAATATTTATTGTAGTAATTACAGAGGAACCAGCATCTCTGTATCCTGAACGTGTCCAGGCTTGTAAATCATCAGTGTGTGGACATCTGTCTTCATGACACCTCAGTGTGAATCCAAAACAGGAATTAATGGTTTAGCAAACATCCTACAAAGCAGGAAATGGGTGCTGTCAGCAGAGATGAGGAGCAGGTGTGTAAAGCAGCAGAAAGAAACAGAACTGAGTTAATCTGAGGAAGTCTGGATGATGGGAGGATCACCTGAGGAGGAGGAGACGTAATGCACCTCTGGAAAATGTGTCACATTTGGTTCGATGACCGTGAGAGACGCGAGTAAACAGTTTGAGCAAACTTCTCCTGAACCAACAATATTCAAGACTTTAAATCATCCAGTAAAAGAACAGGTGGAATTGTGGTTTCAATTAAGTGGTAGATGTTTGTAGAAGCAATTAAAATCCTGGTATTCCTGGAAAGAATTCATATCGCCCGCCACCTTTCATGCCAGTTTTAGACCAAGATCATCTTGTGCTGAGAACTCACAGAGTTCTTGTCGATTATTTTTTTGTCAAAATATATAAAAATGTAAAAGAATAAGCACATTCTGATCATTTTGCAAGATGTGATGCTCAGAATATGATTTGTGAATGACTTGCAGCTACTACCACATCAAATTTTAGGTTTCCATCTCCATTGTAGAGCTTCATCTCCTGGAGGACCCCAAGGCCAGAGAGAGTATACAGTCCCTCCTGCAAGTTCTGGGTCTGGCCCAAGGTGTTTTCCTAATGGGACATGCCCAAAAAAAACTCGAAACAGAGGGAGCATCCTAATTAGATGTCCAAACCACCTCAACTGATACCTTTCAATGTGATCGAGCTGCAGCTCTACTCTGAGCTCCCCCCAGGTGATGGAGCTCCTCACCTTAAGGCTGAGCCACCCTACAAAGGAAGCTCTTTTCGACTGCTTGCATCCAGGATCTCATTATTTGGTCATGATCCAAACCTCATGATCATAGGTGAATGTTAGAACCTAGACAGACCAGGAAATCCAGACGACTCAACTCTTTCTTCACTACAGCCAACCGAAGCAACGCCCTCATTACTGATGAGGCCCCGATTTGTCAATCCATGTCCTGCTACGTCCTACCATCACTTGTGACATCAATTCCCAGATACTTGATCTCCTCCGCCTGAGTCAAAGACCTTCCCACCCAGATGAAGAATCTCACCCATTTCTGGTTGGGCACCACGGCTTCGAATTGAGGAGCTGACTTTGAGGACATTATCTGTAAAACTGACTGAGTTATGAACATTTTTCGTGTTTTAAAGTTAGTTGGTTTTGACAACCAACTTTAATCAAGTTGTAAATACACATCCACCAATCATCAAAGTTCATGCTCAATAAAAACATCCAGCAATGTTAAGTCAGGTTCGCTGGATGGTTTCTTTTTGTTGTAATGTTTCATCTTTCATCCAAAGGACTTCATCAGTCCGAGGAGCCACAAGAAACTCAGTCTTATAAGCAGCACCTTCACATAGTGGGTCAACCAGTTTGATGGTGCTAAGATGGTTTCTGGAGTCCGCCCTCTCCCCCACCGACACGTCTGAGGAAGCCATAGCCAAAGTGGTTCAAAATATCCAACATCCCTTAATGTGGCTCCTCGGACTGACAAAGTCATTTGGACGAAAGACGAAACGTTTCAACAAAACAAAACCATCCAGAGGACCTGACTTAACTTTGTTGGATCCACCAATCACTTTCTGCAAATTTCATAAAAGTCCATCCAGTAGTTCCTGAGATATTTTGGAAACAAAAAGGCAAAAACATAATTGCGCTCTCATTGCCTTTCGGTGGTGAGCAATGATAAATTAGTCGACGGTTTCTTTTGAAAACCTGTAAAACCTGTTGGCACTGAACGTATCAGAGGAGGCTGCAGCTGTTTGCATCAACAACATCAACAACAAAACAGAAACACTTTCACCTTATTGCACACAAATGCTGTTTTACTTTGCAAACACAAAATATGAAACATAAATGATATTGTCAGCCACTTTAAAATGGAATGTGAGCCAAGATGACCCCCCCAAAAATGGAACATCACAATCATCAAGGAACACAAACTGCAAGTGAACAAACATATTTTGCATAAATATACGATATGAGAACAAATTCAAAATAATCAGCGCCGCCGTCTGGGTTATTGAACCATGCTGCACCGAGGTGGCCACGGGGAAAACACTGAGCACGACGCAGAATATTTATTACAGTTTCACAACTTTGTCTGCTCCGTGTCGTGTCTTTGGTCCGTGTTGATGTTTGTGTGCAACTGCTTTACATTCAGCAGCTTCCAGTTGCGTTTCACTTTCATTTATTCCATTATTTCCCAATATCAGAGCTCCATCTATTGATTATGCATTATTCCTAAATGATCACAGCTGAGGTTTGCAAATTCAAAAGCCATTTAGTTGATTAGAGCCCTTGGGCTTGCCGTACATCACAAATCACAGCCACCACGAGGCCTTTCAACATGCACGAAGTACATTCAACCTGATGAATATATGCCATGAAAATGAGCCGAAGGTCTGCTGCTTCCTTTGTGCAGCTGCCTGTTGGTGTGTTTGCATGTTTTCGAAAACAGAAATATTAGATTTGCAGAGCGCAGATGTTACTTCAGACTCTTTGCGCTCTGATTTACGACATCTCCTGTGGGATCATCTGTCTGCTGATGAGCTGCTCTCAGAAACGTTTGTGTGCTCTTTTGCAGCACCGTAAGATCAACTTCGACAAGGCCAAAGGTCTGGTGGAGATACTGTTTGATCAGCTCTCTGAGGACGACGAGGGCTCGTACACGGCTCAGCTGAGGGACGGACGCGCCAAGAACCAGTGCACTTTGGTCTTTGTGGATCAAAGTACGTCGTCTAATCATTTCTGCCACGAGATTCTCATGTTTTCAGTCAAATGTATCACAGTCAGAGAGCAACTTTAATTTGTCAGATTAAAAGAAAATTTAACATGTTTGGAAAAATGCTTTAAAAATGTGAAAAACTGTATTTTTTGTAAAAAATGTGATGTGAATCTTGTGGGCTGAATGACTGCTAAAGTTTGTTGAAGCTAAAACTGAGTTTTTAAAGCACAACATGAGCTAAAGCAAGCCCAACACAAAACTAAACTAATTAAAACAAGCTGAACACAAATTGAACTAGAAAAATGCAAGCTAAAACAAACACAACACAAGCTAAAATGTGAAGAACACAAGCTAAACCAGCAGAACACAAGCTAAATCGAGCACAACACAAAATGAAGCTAGAAAAACACAAACTAAAACAAGCGGAACACAAGCTAAAACCAGCAGAACACAAGCTAAAGTTCGCACGACATAAGCTAAAATGGAAAGAACACAAGCTAAAACCAGCAGAACACAAGTTGAACTAGAAAAATGCAAGCTAAAACGAGCACAACACAAGCTAAAATGGGAAGAACACAAGCTAAAACCAGTAGAACACAAACTAAATCGAGCACAACACAAAATGAAACTAGAAATCTGAACAAACCATCAAACAATAAGAACACAAGCCGAAATAATCAAAACAGTGAAAAGCTAAAATTATCAAAGCAGTAGCAAAAGCTTAAACCAGCTTAACAGTACCTAAAAGCTAAATGTAGCTAAACAGAGGTTGAACGATAAAACAAATGAACTGTAGCTAAAAGCTAAAATTAGTTGCAAATAGTACAAACTAGCAGAACAATAGCTAATAGCTAAAATAAGCTAAACAGTACCTAAAAGCTAAATGTAGCTAAACAATAGATAAATGCTAAAACAAATAAACTGTAACTAAAAGCTAAAATTAGCAGGAGTTGCAAATAGTCCAAACTAGCAGAACAATTGCTAATAGCTAAAATAAGCTAAACAGTACCTAAAAGCTAAATGTGGCTAAACAGAGGTTGAACTATAAAACAAATGAACTGTAGCTAAAAGCTAAAATTAGTTGCAAATAGTACAAACTAGTAGAACAATAGCTAATAGCTAAAATAAGCTAAACAGTACCTAAACTTAGCTAACCTAAACTAAAAGCTAAAACAAAAAAGACTAGATTTTTTTTTTATTAATCTTTTATTTTACCAGGAGAGAGGGAAAACTCAAGAAATTAAAAATCTCAATGGTGCTGGCAACAAAACTTAAAGTTTCATAAAACAAACTTTAACAATAACATTTAACATTGACACACACACAAAAATAAAAATAAAAAACTTTAATTATCAAAACAAGGAACATTTAAATAAAAATAAATATTAAATATTTTCTTTAAAAGGCGCAGCTGCATAACTTTACATATGAGATAAAACAACCTGATGGGTTTTAAAAGATAGTAAAAGGCTGAAGCCTGCACAACATTAGCTAAAAACTAAAACAAGTAACATTGTCGCTAGAATTAGTAAACAACAGGCAAAAGCTTAAACAAGAAAAACGGTAGCTAAAAGCTAAAATTAGCAAAACTGAAGCAAAAAGCTTAAACCAATAGGACAATAGCTAAAATTTAAAGCAGACGGAAAAGTAACTAAAAGCAAAATCTATCGAAAAACAGTAGCTAAAAGCTAAAGCCAGCAGAGTTTAAACTGGATGCTAAAAGTAACAGGACAAAACTCGAGCAGGTTTGCTGAAGCAGATTTCAAAGGGAACACGTGACTTTTTGAGAAATATTATTTCAAATACATTTAATAAATAATAATAAATAAATAAATTTAAATATTTAGAAAAGTATAAAAGTTACAAAAATCCAAAGGCATAGCACTTTATTCCAAGTTAAGCTGCACGTACTCATGTATGAATCGTTTAAATAGTAAAAGAATACAAAGTCGATTAAAAGTTTCAAAAAATCTACAAAGTATAAACAGGAAAACAACAGTGCTGACTCAGCATTAATATATTAAATAAACTGAAAACTCATCAAAAACTTCTGCGACTAGAGAAATAATCTTAATACAAATTGATTAAATTCACACTTTTTGCCTTTTTCGTTGTAAAGATTCAAGAGTTCTGATAACCTGAGTGGTTTGTTGATGTTTGGGTTTATTTACACAGTTTGATGTTTGTGTCTTGTTAGAGTTTCGTGACACGCTGGCCTTGGCTGACACAAATCGACGAGACAAACAGAGAAAAACAGGTTAGATATCCACATGCATTAAAATAAACTAATAACAAATTAACAAATATTCTGATAAACATTCATTAATCATAACAAACGATTGAAATGATTCCAATTATGTCGGATACGGTGAGTTCTTTTGCTATTTTACGTTGAGTACTTGATATTTTTGTTAATCTTAGTGTTTAATTAAAAAAAAAAAACATAAATTAACCATCTGACTCAGATTTTGTAAAATGTTAGTATACATAAATAAACATTTAAAGCTTTGTGCTGACCTGTTTTCATCTGTTTTCTGTGTTTGAAGACCAACATCCCAGAGTTTCTCACGCCACATTTTCTATTTAAATACACACTTAAAATGCAAAAAACACATTTTTGTTCAAGCATCTATACAAAACAAGTCTGAATAAATGTGTTTTACCTGCATCAAAAACTCCAACAGGTCAAGTTGTATTTTCCTCACTTACCGGTTCTCTTGCTTTTCAAAATGCCATAATTGGACTTGATAATTTTCATAAATATTTGTATTTTATCTATGGTTTATTCTGACAGAACTGCTTAATGTTTACTGTTTTTGTGGCCCAGCTTTATAATCATTTGTTGTGTTTCCCAAGGACCTTATTTCCAGAAATATCTGACATGGAGCGTGAATGAAGACTGTGAGTTAATTATAAAGTGCAAGGTACTTCTATATTTACATGCAGCACACCCATTAAAACGACAAAACACGACTTAATATCAGTATTTGAATAATTTATGTTGTTAAGTGTTGGAGGAATATATTCTCTCTTAACGTTCTTAAATAAAAAAAAAACACACACTTGATGGCAGGAGATTTTTAACCAGCATTTTACTTGCAAGGACTCATTCAAGACAGATTACATACAGTACATTCATAATGCATGAAACATGTCGTGAATGAGCATCAAATGGAGTTTGCTGCAGACTTTTATACAGCAGCAGAGTCCAGCAGGCGATGCCAGCTGCAGTCAGATGCATAGACCTGATCCATGACCATCGGCTAGTCGGCCTCCAGACGGAGAATGTTTCGGGCATGTTCTCGTGGCGTCAACACCAGTGAGGCACTGCGAGTCGGCCTTTCTGACGACGACCTTATGGCGCATTTCAACATCCCTCCTGGGTGGGGTCAGGAATAAGGAGTGAAACATTTTGAAAAAATAAAATAAAAAGATTTGTATCAAAACGTCTCTTAAATTAAATTAAAGGAACCTGGACAAGGCCACAAAATAAAACAAGAGCAGTAAGAATGCACTGCTTTGCCAAGACTGAATAAAATGTCCCACATCTGGATGTGAAACTGAACCACCAAATTTAAAATGCTTCATTAAATTTGATCTGAAACGGGAGTACAGAAGTCCTTTGATTATCGCGGGGGTTACGTTCCAGACACCCTCGCAATAAGTGAAAAACTACAAAGTAGAAACGCTATATTTTATTTGTTTTTGTATTTATATACATTTTAAGGCTTTATATACCCTTCCCACACTCTTGCAATGTTCTAAACTCTTAAACCTACGTCATTTTAACAACATGTACTGTACAGTAGCTACTGCAAAATTTTATATGAGGTACTCACCAGTCTTGGTCCAGTCTTGGTCCAGTTCTGGTCCGGTTCTGATCAGCTCTCTGCAGCACCAGATGCTTTTAGAGAGAGCCAGACCTTCGGAGAGCCAGAACAAAACCACACAATGGTCCCGATCGAGTCCAAATAATCCAGAGGGCTCAGGATGAAAAATGTCCGGGTGAGCGCCAGAGAAGACATCGGACTTCCAAGCAACGCCTCCCTGCTCGAGAGGCTTCATGGGCCGACAAGCAGCACTCAGACCGACCGATGAGGCTGGAAGTATGGTCCAGTTCTGATCAGCTCTCTGCATCCACTGAGCCCCAAAGTCACTATGAGTAAGGACCAAACTTTTTAATCTGGTTCAGATCAAATCAAAACTTTCCCTCTATTTTGGCAGCTGGAAGCAGTGTTGACTTCTGGGTAATGTAGTTCTTTTGGACTGGTGATACAATATAGGCTTACTGAAAGAAAACTACAAAATGGCGGCGCCTGTCCCAAGTATTTTGTTTTTCATTAACTTTTCATCTGTACCGTCCCAATCACGTGAGTATTATTAAAGTTGTCAATCACTGAAAAAATGCAAAAGAGCGAATCCACAAAAGTCGAACCGCGAAGTAGCGAGGGACTACTGTATTGTAGTTGAGTTGCAGGAGGAAGATCTGGTATTTCTGTTGTTAATCAAGAAGAAGTGCTATATTTTAAATATGTCATAGAAAGACCAGCAGTGTTTCCAACAGACAGTGAGGGAACGTAGCTCTACGTTGTCTGGTTGAGGTGCACTCCCTCCCCATCAGCATAGTCACAGAGAGTGACGTGTGTCTCCACGCTGTCTCCTCCGTGCACCAAAAACTGTGCCTTCTGCCTCCACGAGGTCTTGATCTTCATGAGATTTATTTGACTATCTATGTTTTGCTGGAACAGTTGTAAAGATGGCTGTATTTCCTAACAGCTTCAGCCAGAAGTGAAAGAGCAGCTCACTGCAGCCGCTTTTCTACACAAACACGCCCGTGAAGTTTTGACCAGTCAACCAATACTTGGCACAGTATTGGAGGTTGTGCACAGAACGGGTTTACAAGGGTGATGCAAGAAGAAAAAGATGCAATTTTAGTCGTGCAACACAACAAAACGCTTCTCATGAAGTATAAGCCAGCCTTAAGAGGAAAGTTGTATAAAAACCTCAGTTTGATGTTTGTTTTGAGACAAACTCATGACTGACAACTTAAAAATGTTCTGCGAGGGTTTGTTTCCTCTCACACTGATTTCTGTATCATCTCTTCTCTCCATGGGCTCCAGGTTGTCCAAAAATGCATAAATAAACGTATTGCCGGGGTAAAAAGACACAAACACATCACCCCCGAGCCCTACTTTCACATTCATTTTAAAACCAGCCGTCCTCCTCAACACATCTCAGATCTGATTTGTACACTTTTATTTCAGGTCCAGACACTAAGTCCTTCTAAGACTTTCTGGTCACAGTTTGTGACAAAATAAAATCAGACATTTTCCTGAACCCTTATCTTTGTGATTATTTTTCCCAACTAAACTCGGGCACAATAAATCTTTAACTACCTTCAAATTACCGTACTTGCCACTGTATACGTCGCAACCAGTCCAAATACACTGCTTGGCCAAAAAAAAGAGTCACCACCAAAATAAAAAGGTCACACTAATATTTCGTTGGACCACCTTTAGCTTTGATTATGGCATGCATTCACTGTGGCATTGTTTCAATAAGCTTCTGCAATGTCACAAGATCTATTTCCATCCAGTGTTGCATTATTTTTTCACCAAGATCTTGCATTGATGACTAGACACTAGACATGATGGGTGCATCACTTCACCTGCCTCTCTTCTTACCCTGATGCGCCCATCACTCTGGAACAGGGTCAATCTGGACTCATCAGACCACATGACCTTCTTCCATTGCTCCAGAGTCCAATCTTTATGCTCCTTAGAAAACTGAAGCCTTTTTTTCCAGTTAGCCTCACTGATTAGTGGTTCTCTTAAGGCTACACAGCTGTTCAGTCCCAATCCCTTGAGTTTCCTTCACATTGTGCGTGTGGAAATGATCTTACTTTCACTATTAAACAGAGCCCTGAGTGCTACTGTTGTTTTTCTTCGATTTGATTTCACCAAACGTTTAAGTGATCGCCGATCACGATCGTTCAGGATTTTTTTTCCGGCCACATTTCTTCCTCGAAGACAATGGGTCCCCACTATCCTTCCAGTTTTTAATAATGTGTTGGACAGTTTTTAACTCAATTTTAGTAGTTTCTTCAATCTCCTTAGATGTTTTCTCTGCTTGATGCCAATGATTTGACCCTTCTCACACAGACCGACATCTTTTCCACGACCACATGATGCGTCTTTCAACATGGTTGTTTAAGAAATGGGAAGCAACTCATTGCACCAGTTGGGGTTAAATAACTTGTTGCCATGCAGTAATTATCCAATAGGAGGCTCGTATCTATTTGCTTAGTTAAATCCAGGTGGCAACTTTTTTTTTCCGCCTGGGCGGCACGAGGAAACCCAGCTGATTTGACGTTTGCTTCAAGAGTTCCAGAGCGAGACGAAGGTGGCTTAGTATGGCAAGCCAAGTGTCTCATTAATAGCCACTTTTACCTATTAATGAGACACTTGGCTTGCCATATATTTCGAGTGCCCTCTAGTGGCTGAAAATGGTAGTGTTCAATATTTTCCATGTCAGAATGAATGAAATCTTTAGATCTCAGACAAAATTTGGGTTATAAATATGGAGAATAAAACATATATTAGTCGCTTCTGTTTATAAGTTGCAGGACTTGCAAATTTATGCAAAAGGATGTGACTTAGCAAAAAATATGGTAATTAATTCTTAAAACGTTCCTGTTTGGGAGAAGTTTTGACAACACTTTTTAATCTTATTTTCTTGTGAACTAATTAATCTGAATTTATTTCATCCCTTCTTGAAAAAAAAAATGTAAATAAATACATATGAACTAAATCTAACCAATCGAGAAGAGGGATGAAGCGGTAGATGTTTTGGTTTTAGATGTGCTTTAAATCTCTCCACAGGTGACAAACACAAAGAAGGACACAACTCTGAAGTGGTTCAAGGACAAGGTGGAAATGAAGGCGTTCGTTTATGATCAGACATCTGGAATCAGCTCTGTCTCCATCCCTCAGGTCAGTTTTCAAATGGGTTTATTTCAGCATTTATTACCAGCCGATGGTGTAAATATGTGCAAACAAAAATGTTTCAGTAAACACAGTAATGTTTAAAAGATTTCACACATAGAAGGTTCACCTTAAAATTAGTTTTGGGGTTAATCTAACCAGTAGATTAAAGGGTATTTATTATTCTCTAGAAAAGTAAATATATTAATTAGGATTATTTTGCCTCAGGTTACAAAGAAAGACGCCGGCTCGTACAGAGCTGTGGTGTCAGACAACAGAGGCGAGGACGTCAGCACTTTAGAGTTACTGGATGACGGTGAGTAAATGACTCAATGACACTTTATTCGTTTTAATACAAATTAGGGAATTGTTTTAGTGACAGATTCCCAGCAGCAGTATAATAAGCTCTCTGAAGTCTTAATTTCTATGTATTTTTTATTTTCAGAGTATGACAAGCTTCTCCAGCTGCTGAGTGAACAATGTGGTGAGTTATATTTATCTAGAGGGACATTATTGTGCAGTGTGGTGAGTTTAATACACCAGAAAAACACTGATTCATTGTGGAATGTTTTATGTGTTGCTTTCCTTTGGTTAGAAAAATAAGATAAGTTTTGAATTGCGTTGCAAAATGAAGTATACGAAAACACGGGCATGAAGTAACGAAGAGTCCTGATTGTCTGCAGCTCTGTCAGCTGGTCCCCTGAGGATGGAGAGCACGGCTGACGGCTTCAGGCTCTACAGCTCACTCAAATACTACATCAGCTGCCTGAAGACAAGCTGGTTCTTGAAGTGAGTCCATCTCAACTGTCGGGTTTTGCTCTGTTCATTTTAAACAATGTTGTTGCTTTTTTATTATTTACGTGCTTTGTGCTGGTGTGACTTTGGGAGGGACTTCTCCCCGTCATTGCAAGATAAACAAAATATACATTTTGGAAATATCCAGAAATATATTGTTTTAATCCGATAAAATGTTCTAAACACACCACCCACTTAGACTAGCTTTAATGAAGCCTGCAGAACTTAATGTTCTACTTTGTAGATACGTTTCTGAACACTTAATCCATAGAATACGTTTGGATTTTTATAATGATGGAAAGGAGATGTACGTATAAACAGAAGGCTCCATTAGATTATTTTAATGCAACTTGTTTTCCCAGAGTTTCCTCTATTACTGGTTTAAAATTGTGTAAAAAATATTTCTGTAAAAGATTGCAGCTTCCTTTTAAATAAGGCTGATGGCACCATCTGCTGGAAAATTTGAAGATAAGACCTGAAAAAACAGAACTAACAATATTAAACTGGAAAAAAGTTCATCTTCTCGATAAAAATAGAGTTTGAACGTTGAGCACCGAAGCTGAAGAACCTCAAGCTGAAATGTTCAATCGTGCTGCGCAAAACTAAAACTAGTATCTAAAATATAAAAACTGAGGCTAAAAGTTACAATTAGCAAAACAGTAGCTGATAAATAAAAAATGGAAAAACAAGAACTAAAAGATAAAGTTTGTAAAACTAAAGCTAAAAGTTTAAAAATTGCACTTCTGAAGCTATATGCTAAAATGAAATTAGCAAAACAATAGCATTTTATACAATATAATAATACAATACAATACAACTTTATTTATAAAGCACTTTAAGAACAACACTGTTGGCCTTATGTACCAAAACTGTGCAAAAAAAAGCTTAATAAAGCAATATATAGCAAAACAGTAGCTTAAAAACCATAATAATCAAAATGTTGCTAAAAGTAGCTAAAAAGGATTAATAATACCTAAAAGTAAAGCAGTAGATAAAAGGTAAAAGTAGCAAAATAGTACATAAACACTAAAATAATCAAAACTTTCCTAAAAGTAGCTAAAAGCTGAAGCACAAAAATGATAAAAGTATCAAAACAATAGCCAAAAGCTTAAAGGAGTAAAATTATACCTAAAAGTAGCAAAACAATAAAGAAAAGCTAAAAGTAGCACACAAAAAAAAGTATAGCTTCAAGCTAAAATTAGCTAAATGATAGTGAAAAGTGCTAAAAACTAGCTAACAAAAATAATCTAAACAGTAGATAAGAGTAGAAAGTAGCATAAGACGTTAAATAGAAAAAGATTTCTTTGAAATCTTCTTTAACACACTGGTTGAAGTGGATTTCAATGAGAACAATGTTTAAAGAGAATAGAAGAGATCTTGGTGTGTTGGGATTTTTTTATCCATCCATCCATTATCTTTACCCGCTTATTCCATTTTGGGTCACGGGGGTCGCTGGTGCCCATGTCCAGCAATCACTGTGCGAGGGGCGGGGTACACCCTGGACGGGTCGCAAGTCCATCACAGGGACACATAGAGACAAACGAGACAAACAACCATTCACTCTCTCACTCACACCTAGGGACAATTTAGAGTTACCAATCAGCCTAACATGCATGTTTTTGGTCTGTGGGAGGAAACCGGAGTACCCAGAGAAAACCCACGCATGCACGGAGAGAACATGCAAACTCCACCCAGAAAGGCCCCTGGACCGGGGTTTGAACCAAGGACCTGCTCGCTGAGAGGCAGCAGCTCTACCAGTTGCGCCACCATGCTGCCCCAAGATTTTTTTTAAAGAAACGTAAATATTTTGAAAATTAAAACTTACAAAGACCAAATGGTATAGCATATTTCCTAATTGAGCTGAATGTTTTGAAATATAAATGTGGAAAAAATTGCACAACGAGTTCAGAGCCAAAATAAAAAAATAAATAAACATTGGAAAAAAAGAACATTATAATTAATGTGAATGCTGATGCTGCATTCACTCAATAACAATGAACAAATCTGATTCTGAACCATTTCTCTGCACAAAAATGCTCAAAGTTTTTCCACTACTAAATAAAGAATCTACATGTTTGTCTAAAACTAGCCACTAGGGAGCACAAGCCAGTGTGTCTCTGGTTCTGGTCCCAAGCCCAGGTAAATGGTGAGGGTTGTGTCAGGAAAGGCATCCAGCGTAAAACACTTAGCTAAAATCAATATGCGAGTTCATCTAAACAACACCATACCAGATTAGTCGAGGCCCAAATTAACGACGGCCACCAATGTTGTTGACAAACAGGGTGCCGGCAGAAATTGTGCTACTGTTAGTCAAAGACCACGAGGAGGGAAATGTAGTGAGGGTGAAGTCTGGAAAGCTCTGAAAAGAATAAAGAAGGGGAACCTGATGACATGCAGTACCAGTGGATGCTTGGAAATGTCTTGGAGAGATGGCAGTGAGGTTTTTGACTCAAATATTCATTGGCATATATGAGGGTGAGAAAATGCCTGAGGAATGGAGAAGACGTGTGCTGGTGCCCATTTTTAAGAACAAGGGTGATCTACAGAGTTATATATATAGAGAGAGGGGAATAAAGTTGAAGAGCCACACGATGAAGAACTGGAAGAGAGTTGGGGAAGCTAGAGTTAGATGAGAAATGACCGTGAGCAGCAGTATGGTTTCATGCCAAGAAAGAGCACCACAGATATCATCTTTGCTTCGAGGATGCTGATGGAGAAGTGCAGAGAAGGTCAGAAAGAACTCCATCGTGTCTTTTTGGATTGAGAAAAAAGCATTTGACAGGGTGTCATTTAAGAGAGGAGGTATGGTGTTGTATGAGGAAATCTGGTGAAGTATGTTAGACTGGTACAGGACATGTATGAGGACAGCAGGACAGTGGTGAGATGTGCTGTAAGAGTGACAGATAGCTTCAAGGTGGAGGTGGGAGTGCATCAAAGATCGGCTCTGAGCCCCTTCTTGTTTGCTCTGGAAAAAGCATATGACAGGGTGCTGAGGTGTGTTATTGCATGAGGAAAGCTGGCAGAGAAGTTTGTTAGACTGGTAAAGGACATGTTTGAGGACAGCAAGACTGTGGTGAGACTAGCTAGGTTGTATGTTCTGGAGACAGTGGCACTGCCAAAAAGACAGAAGAAAGAACTGGACGTAGCTGAAATTAAAATGTCAAGGATCTCTTTAGGACTGACAAGGATGGATAAGATTAGGAATGAGATCATCAGAGGTACAGCACAAGTTGAACAACTGGGAGATAAAGTTAGAGAGGCCAGACCGACACGGTTTGGACGACAGTGGGTATATTGGTAGAAGGATGTTAGAAACGCAGCTGCCAAGAAAAAGACAAAGCGGAGATATATGGATGCAGTTAGAGAGGACATGGAGATAGTTGGAGTGAGGACAGAGGAGGCAGAGGACAGAGTGAGATGAAGGAGGACTCACTGTGGCGAACCCTGAAGAGGGAAAAAACGAAAGAAGAAGGTTGTCTAAAATCTCCTCATTGCATTTAATTATAACGATAAGGGAAAGGGGACTGATCCAAAACAAATATTCATGGCTTTTTTTCTGGATCCATTACAACAAGCAGAGCAACTGTTTATCTGTGCATCATCCTGTTCCTGTAGAGAGAAGAGGATTGATCAGGAGGCCAGGACCAAGCCTGGCAGCAGCATGCAGAAAGTGTGGATTGAAATCTCAAACCCAACAGAGAACGATAAAGGCAAATACATCTTAGAAATGTGTGACGGCACAGAGACGCACAAACGACATTTTGAACTGTCTGGAGACGGTGAGTGGAAACAACTCTGGTACAAAACATAAAAAGACTGAATGGTTTGATGTTTGTTTTTTTATCTTCATTGTCATCATGACAGTTTTTGCTGAAGCTTTGCTGGAGCACCAGAGGTTGAAGTAAGTTCTGAGATGTGTGTTTTCATATCTTGCATGATTTGCTGCACCGCTAACAAAAAGACTGATGAATTCAAAACAAGTTACAAAGTGATCTATAAAGTACCTGCTTCGCAATACGTATAAAAAAATACATTATTGTGCTACACTGTCATGTTGCATTAACTTTAGCTTTTGATTTCAACCCTCAGGCAACTGGCCATTGCTGAGAAAAGTGAGTCTTGTGCTGATACATTTGAGTTAATAAAAATAAAAATAAACTATTCTGGATCTCACCTTAGTCATTGTTCCCGGTTCTCCCCACAGATCAAGCCAAAGTAACCAAAGGTCTTCCTGATGTTGTAGCCATCATGGAAGGCAAGGTACGACACTGTCAAAGATCAGCCATAGTTGTAACAGTTTAATGCGTGCGTCTTCATTGTTCCTCTTCCTTCTCTCTTCAGTCTCTGTGTCTCACCTGCTTCATTGATGGCGACCCAGCCCCAGAGATCTTCTGGCTTCATAACGACAAGGAGATCCTCGATCAGACTCAGTTCACCATCACAAAGGAGCCCAAGCGCAGCGCCATCACCATCAACAAGGTCAACACAGAAGATTCTGGAAAGTACAGCATTTTTGTGCGCAACAAATACGGGTCTGAATCGGTTGACGTGACCGTGAGCGTCTACAAGCAGGGAGAGCAACCTCCAGCTAACGCAGTGGAGATGGGTTAAGACTGCAAATAAGAGTCAAAAGTTCAGTTTTAATGAGGATTTAAATTGAGATAGTTGACCAAGATTAAGTTTTTATTTATTGAAATTAAATGCACATTAGATGCACAAAACTAAATTAATTTTTCCTCCTCCAAGTCATACCACTATGCTGGTGTAGCTTTATGCTAACAGAAGCTAGCGTAGCATGATTAGCTTGAAACTGCAACATTTTATCAGCTAAGAAGATAACTTTATTTTTGTTTTCTTTCCGAAATGGTGTAGCTGTGTTGGTTTTGATTTTATTTGGATCATTAGATTTAATGAATCTGTTGTGATTTGTTTGGCGTTCTTCGTTCTTGCTCATTTCTTTCCTTTGTAGATTTCAGACCTGTCAGTTAGTTTTGTCTGCTGCTTAATAAAGTTTACTTAGTTTGGATGTTTCTTTGAAATATAAAGCTTGTGGGAGGAGTCAGAGCTCAGACAGGTGACTCCACAACCAATGAGCTGAGTGGATCAGAAGATGACAGGAAATGAGAGGACAAAATAAAAGTCTGGCCTTTCCCTGGCTTGGCATCACTGAGAGTCCAAGTGTGAGGTTTTCAAAATAAAAGCCCCTCTTACCGAAATAAAAGCTGTCACACAGATCAAAAAAAGTCTGATTTGTGAAGAACCTGAGCAGGTGGTCATGTGGTGTAAGATCCAAGCCCGCCTCATTAGAACCTGTATGACGCAGCAGGTTCTGAACAACGTGTTTGGGTTTCATCAGAACGAGCATGGTGCAAGTTCTGATGCTGGTGGTGGTTACGGTGCCATCACACGACTCCCTTCAAACACACATTTTCTGTGGGTCAACAGAACCAGTACCACTTGTAGTCTACCTCCACAGGTGTCAACACCTTTGTTAACAGACTGATTTGTGAAACCCAGTTAGACAGTCAGTGTCTTACCTGCAGAGTTCTCAGTTTATTTGCGTTGGAAACGACTCAGACCCAGATGTGTTTGGATCCATGAAATACGGTTTTCCTGAGGTCAGCATTTCAGAACACAGAACCGCTAATGTCACGCTCTGTGGTGGGTCCAGGTTACTATTTTTTCCCATATATGTTTTATCAGCTAGAGGAATAGCATTGTTTTTGTTTGTTAGTTTTCTTCACAAAAAAATGAAGTTGCTGTGTTGATTTTATTTGGATTATTGGATTTAATAAAGTTTTTTTTTTTTACATTTCTTTAGTCTTGCTAACTTTTCTATTCAAGTCAGTTCGGTTTATTTATTGAGCGTCAAGTCACAACAGAAGTTATCTCAGGGCACTGAACAAATACATCCACATGCATAAAAATTAAATTAGTAACATTTATCTAATGTAGGTTCTATCATTGAAGATTCAGATTAATTTAGCTCTGATGCTATTTACCAATTTTTTTTAAAGGAATGTAAAACAGCAGCATTTTAAAATATCTCTGTTTCCTTCCCACAACTATATTGTCTTGTAAATTGCTCACCTCAGTAGGTTTTTTATATTGTCTGTTTAGCTTAAAAGCAACATTGGATATTTTGATCTGAGCTCATGTAAGCTTGCCTTAATATTATTTTATCACTAATGTTAAGAAGCCAGTGATCTGTGGGTTCTGTTATTGAGCTGATACTTTTCATTATCTCCTAGTTTGGTTGGTTTTGCTTTTATTTGCATTACTGGATTTGGTCAACTGAGTAACTGTTTTATTTCTGTGCATTGCAAACACATCAGTTAGTTTTGTTTTCTGCCTTTACGCACCTGATATAAATCTCAGTGTCCATCTGTACTCCCTTTTCATAGCTGTGTGCCTCTTTATAGTTTTAAATATATATATAATATAGTATGTTGTGCTTTTTGCTTCTGAATTATTATTTTTTTTAGTATTTGTTTGACTTATTTGAGTAAACTGATAATGAAAGGATATTTATTTCATCCGACATGGTTTGCCCACTATTTTTATTCCCTGGCTACATGTTAGCAGGTCCTGCGTTTGGGTCCTTATTCTTCAATCGTAGATCACGAAAAACAGTTTCTCAAAATGCCTCAGTTGTGCATCTGATGAATTTATGTTGAGCTATATCAGTTTATAATCTACTCAAACTGTAGCTGCAACTGTGAATTCTCAGTGTGGCAGAAGTAACGTGTTATGAATAAAGCCATTTCCAGTTGTGTTATAACTTTTATAACTCACTTTTCTCATTTTAATCTATAAACTTTGAACATTGGTAAATGGTAAATGGAGCTTACTTCTATAGCGCCTTCCAGCCCCCTATGAGGGGCCCCAAGGCGCTTTACAGTACCAGCCATCCACCCATTCACACGCACATTCATACACCGGTGGCGGTAGGCTGCCATGCAAGGCGCCATCCAGTCCCACGGGGAGCAACTCGGGGTTAAGTGTCTTGCCCAGGGACACAACGGCACATGGTGTGGGAAGTCGGGATTCGAACCTCCAACCTTCCGATCAGAGGTCGGCTGCCACTACCACTGCACCACGGCCGCCCACAACATTGAGACGATATGTATGGCAGGTTACTTTGTGTGTAATTATGCAATGAGTCTTGTGTTTCAATTTAAAAGCAAACAGTCCTTTGTGTCGTTAACCTTACTATTGGGCCCTATTTTGTCAGGTAGGTCCAAGTTCAGGGAGTTACCAGTACACTGAGGACAGGCTGCAAATGTGCATGAAACTGAATGAAAATCGCATGTTGATTCATTAAGTAAAACACGTACAAAAAACGTGTTTCTGCCTTTTTAATTTCTACTGAAGCCTCAGAGAGTTAAAAAACAACAACGATCTGCTGTTTTTGCGTCTTCAGCATCCTGCCCAGCGTTCACCACAAATACAAAACTGGAAAAACTGCATGTACGCATTTGACCTACATCATACAGAAAGCTGATATGTTGTATAGTGCACTAAAATATTTAAATATTTCCTTGTTGGAGGATGAGGGTTGGCCAAACAAGAGTAATTGAACTCCTGGTTGTTCAAACAGCCGATTACCTCAGAGGATTTTGTTACTCATTAGCCACAGTACTCTGCACCCTGTTCCTTTGGGTATAAGAAGGTGTGGGTGTTCATTCACCTTCTTCACATTGTGTTGAGCTCCACACAGCTGTCTCAGCCTCCAGCCACCTTGGTGAAGGAGAACCCTGACCCTCTACAAGACATGGACTTCAACGGAGCATGGCAGGTCTACGCACAGGAAAACTATGAGGAGTTCCTCAGGGCCATGGGTGAGAAAACAACCCGCTTTCGTACATTGCGAGTCACAAAATTCAACAGTCCGGACACACATAATCCATTCTTCTCTACAGAGCTCCCAGAAGATGTGATCAAGATGGCCAAGGACATCAAACCGATTACTGAAATCAAACAGACCGGCAACGACTTCGTCATCACCTCCAAGACACCTGGAAAATCTGTGACAAACTCCTTCACCATCGGCAAGGAGGCTGAAATTACCACCATGGATGGCAAGAAGCTAAAGGTAAGTTTAAGTTTATTACACTGCAAGAAGCACGGCCCCTTTAAGCCTGGGCAGCATCTAAAAAGAAATATTGTCAAATACAGTTAAATCCCATTAATGTAAAAATATACACAGTGGGTACAAAGGTCAACTGTAGCCTCTTTTGTGCCACTTCCACTTTACATAGTTCTCATTTTGTGTCTGATATTAGACAATGCAGGAAGCAATGGTTGTATGTCTGCACCTCTTTAATATGTCATAAATGACAGGGGTTAAAGACTTTTCAGGATAGTTTTCTGCTAAACGTCTAAAAGGTTCGTACAGCCCTTGTGAGGGACGCATTACGTTTCCTGAACTGTCTCCTCGTCTGACCTTCCTCAGTGCACCGTCAATCTGGAGGGAGGCAAACTGGTCTGCAACACTGGCAAGTTCTGCCACACACAGGAGCTGAAGGGAGGCGAGATGATCGAGGTACGATAATAACGACTGAATATCATGTTTTGTTACGTGTTTAACGTAAACGTGCTATTCATTTTGTTTTTTTTCTGTTTAGACTCTGACCAAGGGCTCGACGACGCTCGTCAGGAAGAGCAGAAAGATTTAAATCTGGCAGTGGAGAAAAAAATACAATGTCTTTTTAAATAAAGTGATTAATATGGGTGTTTTTTTTATTTTTGTCATCCATGTTTTAGTCATGCCATGACGTTTGCTTCATTTGCTAAACACATACGTGTATATATATATATATATGTGTGTATGTATATGTATGTATGTATATGTATATATGTATGTATGTATGTATGTATATGTATGTATGTATATATATAATATATATATATTAATAAAGGGCAGCACGGTGGCGCAACTGGTAGAGTTGCTGCCTCTCAGTGAGCAGGTCCTTGGTCCAAACCCCGGTCATGGGGCCTTTCTGGGTGGAGTTTACATGTTCTCTCCGTGCATGCGTGGGTTTTCTCCAGGTTCTCCGGTTTCCTCCCACAGACCAAAAACATGCATGTTAGGCTGATTGGTAACTCTAAATTGTCCCTAGGTGTGAGTGAGAGAGTGAATGGTTGTTTGTCTTGTTTGTCTCCATGTGTCCCTGTGATGGACTTGCGACCCATCCAGGGTGTACCCCGCCCCTCGCACAGTGATTGCTGGACATGGGCACCGGCGACCCAAAATGGAACAAGTGGGTAAAGATAATGGATGGATGGATATTTAAAAAAAAAAAACATTTGAAATATATCAGTCTGTGTGTAATGAATAAATATAATATACAAGTTTCACTTCTTGAATGGAATTACTGAAATAAATCAACTTTTCATGATGTTTTAATTTTATGACCAGCGCCTGTAATCTGATGTTAACCCCTGCTTTGAACGCTGCTTTAAAAATCTGCAAACATGAATGGATGAGCAAAACTCTTGAATCCAACAGAATCTGATCACCCTCCATGTTTGTCCTTTTATGAGAATAATCATCACAGCTGAGCTATAAACTTCCACCTGACTCTCCACCGTTTTAATTTCTACAGGAAACTGTGTAATTAGTTTTGATCATCTGATGTTTGGAGATTTTAATAACCAAAGGTGTTTACATCAGCTGTCTTCCTGTCAACATTTAGGCCCTATTTACACAAACATGATGGGGGAAACGTAGATTTTTTCGTATGTTAGAGGAAGATTTGCGTTGACACGGTCGGATTTTGGGTTTACATGCATCCGGAGGATTCCCCCCCCGCCCTCCCGAATCCTGCCAGGTCCAACCATTAAGTGTCTGGTTTTCTTTCTGGCATCTTATAAAGTACACAGATGGCTCTTCCTAAAAACATTTTCAACTAAAACTCTCCATGTAAACATTTCTGCTCGTTACCATGTAAGTTAAGCTTGTAATAGTTTAAGTTTGTGTTGGTTTTTTTTTTTTAAAAGGAAACTTTTACTGTTCCAAGTTTGAATTAAAGTTGTAACCTAGTCATTATTAGGCATGTACTGTATTCTGCCCTTATCTCCTGAATAACTTAAATAACTAACTGTATGCTTGTAGTGCCTGATCAACTAGGCTGTACTAATATTAAAACTATTACCAGTAATTCACATGCAAACAAAATAAACAGACCAATGTGTAGGGGGGAAGGGAAGGGGTTTATTATGTTTTGTTTTTACTTTTGTTGTCAATTATTAGCACATTCTTTTACATTTTAAATACCAATTATTACCAAATTTAAAATGGGGAACATCTTCAAATCATCAGTGACATTGTATCTGTGGGACAAATTAGTAGCCAATTATTTCACTTTAAAATTTAGAATAAGGAGACATTGCTATGAAAGACACAAATTGACAAAGAAAGTTTTTTTTCTATAAACAAAATGAAGGCAGTAATTAAACAGCAATGAGTCAAATCCACCTGTCGGCTGGCGGAAGAACAGCCGACAGGTGAAGGGTTGTGATGGTGATGTCTGAAGTCAATAAAATATACAAAAAGGTGTCAGGCCTACAAACAGTAAGCACATCAGAAACTTAAAACCCTTACATACGCAAGTCTCCTTAAATCCAATTAATGTTTGAAAGCAATTTTTTATCAATAATGCACTTAGCACTTCTCACCCTGCACTGTAAAACAAAATTAACAAAAACATGTGCAAGATCTTCTGTAAAGAGAACAGTGCAGGGGTGCTGATAAATGCCATTGGCAGGGATTTTTTGTTGTTTTTTTAACAAAAATATTCTTTCATATTGAAGACGTCCTTTGAATGTCTTCTACATTCATCGTTATTACTAAAAATACTTTTGTCAAACAGGCAACAAACTTTGCCTGCAAATGTACATATGCTACACGTACTTTAAACATTTCACTATTTACATGGCTCTTGAACACAACAACAATCTCTTTGCTTTGTTTTTTGTTTTTTTTATGCTGGCTATAAGCAGCTTCAATTCTGCAAAGAGAAAAAGGAACAATGGAGGACTGCATAACAAAAATAAAGAGTTCATAAGATAGTCCATTGCATCTTCACCACTTTCCATAGCATCCTAGTCTGTTATTCAGGGTGAAAAATCTTGAGGACAGTGCAGGAGGTAAACAATACGCAGCAACAAGAGGCTACAAGAGTACAAGACATCAGATGGTCAGAGACAGAACCTCCTGTCTCGTGTATCAGATTTTTAAGCACTTGGGCCACTTCCCTACAGTAAAGCTCCTCAGTTCTGCTGTCCTTCAGGCACAGACAAAAGCAGCCAACTGGACCCCATCATGCGAGCGAGGCCCTCTTCCGCAAGTTAAAGCTGCAGCTCTGTCCTGAAGAGGCAGAAACTGGGGGAGAGTAACAGTACTGATCGGAACAAATGAACAGTTCTGGGTAATGTCAATCAAATCACCATCAAGGCTGGCAAAATAAAAGGAGTGGAAACTATGCCAACCATAGAGTCCGATTCATTCAAATAAACAGTCAAACATAGCTTTGGTTACACAGTGCTTCACTTTTCAACCACAATAATAAGGACTTATTAAAATAATGCTATGATAGAGTGTTGAGGACCAGGTGCACTCAACTCCTATAGTGCATCTGCGCACAGCGCAATAAAAAGGGGTACAGGAGTTGGTGGTCCGAGGTCCATGTGCTATGGTCTCTTACTAGCCTTCAAGGTTAGTTAGTCTTTCAACCTGAACCTACCCACCAGCTCATATCCACAATAGCTTTTCCCTTGCAGAACTGCAGTTGAGTGCATTTTTCATGCCAAAACAAAACGATGTAAAAGCTAACGAAAATAAAGGGCCCCAAAAAAAAATGCTACAAATGTGAACTTGCTTTAGCACCTGAATCTTTGGATAGAACTCCAAAGGCTCAACTTTTACCAAAATAATTGTGTCTGTCCACAGAAATGGACGATAAAAGTAATGGGCTTTACCTGATTTAAAGTATAACCCCTGTTTTGGGGGGGGAAAAAAGCACTCAATCTGCTTTGAAAGCCAACAATAAAAACAAAAAAGCGAAAACAGAAGTAAAAAGAATCCAGTTTGTCGTCAGTCACAGAAACTGGCTCCACTAAAAGCATCACTAACCAGCAAGGCAACAAGACTGCAATAGCTTACAGAATTTGTTTTAAAAATCAATTCAACAATAAATCACTGCTGTGAACGGAAGTTTAACCATAGAGGGTTTCGTGTACTACAGCTTTGAGGCGTTCCTGGAAAGAAAATGCCTCAACAGAGTCCCAGTCTATGTATTGGCTTCATTTGAATGGTGTGGGTATCTAGCTCAAGCCTGCACCTTTAAGAGGCTTTTGAGCTGGAAGGCCATCATCTCCCTGTGGTCACAGGACCCCATAGGGAAAGACACCCAGTGACTGGGAGGTTTGGGCAACACACTGGGTGAAGGTGGCTCACTGAACTTAGGCCCTGCATAACTTGGGCTGCCCTGTGTTGACAGGAGCGTGTTAAGGTGAGACACTGCACCCTCCCAGTTTTGATCGTAGCTGTTGGCAAAACAGACAGAAGCATTCTTCTCAGTGGACACGGCCTGCCGCGCCTCTGGAGACCTGTGGTAGGCAGCGCCTTTGTCGCTCCGGCGGAGACCATGATGATGGTGAAGGCCCCCTGCTCCTCCTACAGACACTGCCGTGGCTCCGATCTGGTCACGGCTCCTCTGCTTGGCCTTTCCAAGCTGATGGTTCTTCTTGGGGCGTTCAGGGTGGGAAATAGGAATGTTGTATCTCTCTCCGCCTCCCATGTTTTGGTACTACCTGTCACCTTTAAGTTAAAAAAAAAAAAGGGGGGAAAACTAGTATTAAGTTATGCACACATATTAAAATGTGTTGCAATTGGATGTAGTAATAAATAAAAGGGACTTTGCTCTGTATCAACAAAAACAAGTATGGTGACTACGTGCAGGAGCAGCAGCAGACTGGGCTGCTGCCCCTCCCCCACACCACCCAGAGCTAAACAGCCCCAGCTTTCCTTCTTTGTTGTGAGAGTGGACAAAGCTGAAATACCTCTTTAATCTTTCACCTCCGACCGGTCCCCAGGTCCTCGAAGTAGCCTTCTGCCTACTTCTCGCTGCACTTGTGAGTCCAGCAAGGTCTGAAGCTTTCATGTGCCAATGAGCGCTGTTTTTCCGTGAAGCCGAGCTGAACATCAACTCACCTCGGCGCACGACGCAAGAAGTCGAGTCCCCTGAAAAGCGTGAAAATTCGGGTTAGATGTGCGAAATGGGCACGCAAATATACACAATATGTGGGCTAAACACACGCTTCCGTTGTGGAACAATAACTCATTAAGTATTATAAGCGTGCTTTTGCGAAGTGCGTCATCACATGAATCGACAAACAAAAACAAGCTCGTTATTTTCCCGTAAACAAGCGTATAAATGTGAAAAACAATTAACGACCAACACGACAAAATGTTACATAAAAAAATAGGTTTTCCCCACTTTTGTTTACATTATAGACGGTTTTTGTTCAGCAAATCTCGATGTAAAAAAATGTTAATTATTAGGTAACGACTGTAGTATAGCGTAGTTTACAATTACAAACGCATGTTATAAAAACAAAACGCGTTTTCGTCCTGTTTAGGTCTACCAAACCAAAACAAAGAAGCTGGATTCAATATGGCGACGACACACAAGCAAAGTGACAAACTGCTTAGTCTTACCGACTTCGTCAGGCTTTGCTGTTGAAGCCTTTCGTCGAATATATATATCGAAAGCCTCTTGATATTACTCAGCGGACTATGTAGAAAGCACAGCGAGCTATATTTCCTACAAATCCGCCACCGTTTGAGGCTTATGTGTTTTTAAACAAGTGGCCACAGAAACGCCACTTCTCCCTTCCTTTTCTGATTGCAACAAAATGGAATCTGCGGTGCAGATATGTAGTCTGCTCGAGGAGAGAACTGACCAATCACGTACCGAGTTCGATCAGCTCGACCAATCAGAGAGAAGAAATGCAGACGCATTCATGGCTGTTGCCGAGCCTGATGACGTCAATCACTAGCCCTCCTCTCTCTTCCTTTGTTGGAGCTCGTGCGATTACTTCCTGAGAGGAGTGAGAAAACGACACAAAAACAACCGTTTTCCTTCACTTACATCACACTTTCCAACTAAAATATATTTAAGAAGTGTCTCAATTTGCACAGAAGACACAATGTAAGCGTTTATCCTGTTAAGAAGGACAGTGCTTTGTTATGTAATGCCAACCAAAAAGATAAAAAACGGTCTTATTTCGATATAAAATGTTTCATTTTCCTTCCTTGAAACAGGAAATAACTTTTTCAGTGTTTCTATGTAGGTTAAATCTGTTGTGCAGCTGCAACAGGCTGTAATAACAACAGCAGCTTATGTCTGAAAACTACCCATCCCCCAGCCTTGTCTGGTCTGGTGAGAAAACATCTTGTTATTGTTTCAGTGAAACTCAAATCTTTTCTCATTTCACCACTACAGTCTTCTGAAGGTTATTTATACTTTAAAAAAATGAGTATGATGCGATCATTAATGGGCTTTCTGAGTCGATCGCACCCTTTTCTTTTGTTCTATAAAGAGCAGCAATGCAAACATAATTTTCAATAAATCTTTTCAATAAATCTGTGATGAGGACGCATGGACATTTAGTGCAGTTTAGAAGTAACCTTTCTCACAATGAGTCCTAAAACTCTCCATCAGGTGACTCCTGGGGCTCATGTTACATGTAATTACTGACCGGGCGGCATATCCATATTTATATCTGGGTTTGATTAATGTTTTGAAAGCCAGTGTTCTAACTTAAAGGTACTTGTTACAAACTATGGAATCAAACATAAATGGTGCCGTTTGAAAGAGTTAACTCGAGTTGTCCAGATACACAATTCTGAAATGCAGGTACACGCTCAATGTAAACAAATAATGTTTAGCTATGTGGTTTATTCAACAGATCTGAGTGTAAATATGTACCAAAACATCAAAATGGTTGGACATCTTGATGCCAATCGACGATGCTTTGTTTGACCCTGACTCGGCTCCGTTGGTTTTATTTTAAGTACGTTATCCATCAATATGAAAAAAAAAATGGGTGGATTTCATTACTTTATTACTGGTAATTTTCTTTTGACCGGTCTTTCTGACCTTTGACTTTTTAACTATTGATTTTTGTCCTTGTCTTCTTGTGATTGTGTGCTGTATTCAAATAGAAAAGCTTAACTCAATCTCATTATCGTCCGTTGTTTTTCTATCTACTCATACAACTTCCAGTAAGTTTCATCCATTTTTTTTCCCACTTCTCCTTTCCAGGTTTCAGGGAGTTGGTTCCTTTCTTCAGCAGTCCCCTTGCGAAAGGCGGGCGACACCCTGGACAGGTCTCAGGGAAACATACCAATAATTTAACATAGATGGTTTTGGTCAGTGGGAGAACACCGGAGTACCTAGAGAAAGCCCATGTAGGTGATCCTGTAACCTTCTCGCTGAGGGGCAACATCACAAGCCACTTCTTTGCCTTTCTTCTTATCAGGTCTCTCTTGTAAATGAGTCCTCGAGGCTCAATGGGATTTACCTGTCTAAATAAAGGTTGATTGATTGATTGCCGTGCCATCCCACAATACACTCCTTGGTGCACCATTTATTAGCAGTTTACTTTTTAAAAAATCTAAATGTTACTTTTTTTCTATTTACCCTTTATTTATACAGGTAGTCTCATTGAGCCACGACAACTCATTTTCACTATACTGTTTAAGGACTTTGACCAGTACCATAAAGTTTACCAGCAGGTTTTACTCTGCATGTCTATAGGTCTACAGAGATCTAACAGTTATCTCTAGTTCATGGTCAACTCAACTTTCCATGTTTGAAGAGTCTGAAATATAAAAGAGTTACACAACACAGTGTGTGTCAGCCAGCAAAGAGCATGAGGGGACACGCCTCTGAAACTCAAAGCTACGGTGGAAGGGGGTTGAGCCCATCATGATTGGCTATGTATGGAAAGTAGGTCACTGAGGGGCCTCTCTGCACGTAGCCAAAACATATCTGACTGCTAAAGTTGGCAGTGTAAACACGTCACAGGGCGCAAACTGCTGAAAAGTAGAATGGAAAAAAAAAGAAAAGCTGCTTGATTTGTTCTTTTGCTCACACAAAGCAAGGGGGATTGAATCTTTGTCTTCTGCGCTATTCAGTAATTATTCAGTAAAGTGAGTGAACAACGGGGGTCGTCGCTAGAATACAAATAGTTTAAAAACGTTCCAAACACACACGATTAAAGAGAAGCGAGAACGAACAAACAGGAACACCATCACATGGCTGTTTTGTTTAAACGCCTGCAAGAGTTTAAATATGGCTGCCATATATATATATATATATATATATATATTTTTTTTTTTTTTTTTTT